AATATAAATATATTTATTATATTAGAAACAATTATATTGATTATGTAGTATAGAAATGTTCTTAAATAAATGATTTGGGAAAAGAAAAAAACCTGAAAAACTTGATTTTATAACTTAATGAAATATCAAAAAATGTATTACATGGTTAATCAGTAGAAAAATTTCAGAAACATTTTTGGAATTTAATTAGAATCATTTATTCATTAACTTACCAACCATAATCTTCAATAAAACATAAACTTCTAGGATGATAATGAATTTTCAAAAAATCTGACCATGTTGTTACACTGTCATCAAGATCATAAAATTTTCTATTTGGAATTTCTAAACTTTCAGTTAATTTAAAATTTGATGATGATGATTCAGCTAAAAATATAAAACAGTAATGAATAGCACAGATTTCTTATATTAATTTAAAATATGATAAAAGTTTGTTATAAAACAATAATTACAAATGATTTAAAAATTAATTACTTAAATTCATATGACAACATTTGATTACAGTAAACAGTAATATATTTCTAAAATGATTTAAAGCAGTGATGAACAACCAGTGGCCTGTAAGGTCCTAATATACAGCCCCTGGGGCTTTGTCAACGTAATTTTATTTTCTCGTTTTCTACCTCGTGTCATTATGCAATATTAATTTAGCTGTGACAAAGAATATTCAAACTAAACTTGACCAGTAAAAAAATGAGAATAAACTATATATTATTGAGAACAAATCACACAGGAACACTTTTAGCGGAAGTAGGTTGGTTTATTGATAGGAACGGATATGTATTTCGGGCTTAAGAAAACACATATAGTAAGGAGAGCAGGAAGCAACCAAGATTTATATATTACCAGTTTGGATATCATTAGCATATATTATTTTAGTATCTAGTATATTGGCACTAGAGTATATAGAGTATGTTGCTACTTGGCAGGCTTAAAGCCTGCAAAGTAGCAACATACTCTATATACTCTAGTGCCAATATGGCTCACCGGAAGCCTGTGAAGTTCACTTGTGGTCCTTATCCAGAAAAGATTGTTCACCACTGATGTAAAAGATGGCAATTGATAATCTTCAGATACTTATGCTCAAGAGTTCCTTTTTGATTAAACTATACTCTTTCTTAATTAATTAATAAATAACAACAAAAAAGAAAATAAATATTTTCAATAAAAAGTATCAATTTGATGTTAAAACAGAAACTAGATAAGTAAATATTTTTGTAAATGTAATTACTTCATAAATAGTAATATACTCTAATTTCTATAACTATTACAAAAATTACTAACAGAAATTATACCATTCTTTTACAATATTTAATGTATTAACTGTTAACAAATCTATGTCATAAATATTGGTTCTTCATTTTTTGTCATATATTACAATATACTTTGTCATAAATAACTGCAAACATGAATATTATACAAAAATATTTTAAAAAGCTGTTAATGTGTAAGAAACTATTTATAACTAAAAAGATGATTTGATTCATTATTCATATTGTTTAAATTTTTTCCTTTTAAAACTATTGCAGTTCAAATTAAATAATATTTAAGGGGTTAATGTTAAATAGCACACATATTAAATTAACATAGTGAAATAAATTACCTTGACAAATATCTCTATCTTCATCAATAGATGTCATCTTGAGACTTAAATCGGGATAAGCAATTTCCTAAAAGTGATTGTGTATTGGCAATTTAGATGAAAATCTTATTATTGTTCATATCAATCAATAACATTATTTTCAATGTTAATTTAAATGTTATTTAAATTTATTTTAAAATACTATATAAACAAACTAACAATTATTATTAATAAAGTCTTTTTCTTTAAATGTATATTTATGTAGAAATAGATTTTCAACCAATATATTATTGAAGAGATACATTATTTAAATTATTAACTTAACATTACTATAATTATAATTATTCCCTTAAGAGGGAATAATTATAATTATATATAGCAAAAAAAAAATAGAGTTTATTTTATGTTATGGTAAAATCTATATGTAACAAATTCAATAAATTCAGAAAAAAAAAAATATTTACTTTCAACACTACAATTTTTGAAAATTGGGCATTGCTAATAGTTGCATTCAATCAAACTTATTCTCAACATAAATTATAACTGCATTTCCTGAATATTCATAAAGGCTGATCATATAATCTCACTGTTTTTTTTTTATTTTGCTTAAATATAAATGACATTCAACTAAGCTTCACACTTTTTAATGAATTAGATCATTTTATAAACCCAATTTTGATTTTATATGATAGAAACAGTCCTGAAAAATCCATGTAAAAAAACATTATCTGTATGAAAAAATGGATAATCAATTCCAGATCTTGAAAACCAACAAATACACAGGCTGTTTTTTTCAAGCTCTGATGGTCCATAAAAAAAAAACAAGTGTAAATGACAAAATGAATTTATTAGCAAAAGTTAGGTACAAACATGGTTATTTTTCGACATAATCACTGTGACGATTGAGGCATTTGTCATATCTGTGGATGAGCTTTTCCATCCCTTTGTCATAGAATGTTGCTGCCAATGACTTGAGATGGTCCTAACACTGTTTTGAAGATCGTCATCAGTCTCGAACTTCTGCTCTCCTAGCCACTTTTTCTGTTCAGGAAAGAGGTGGAAGTCACTCAGCGCTAAATTGGGGCTATATGCTAGATGTTTAAAGGTTGTGAAGACTTCCACTTTTCAGACTTCTACCCAGCTTGGAACTTTTTAATGTGTGAAGACTTCATTGGCAGCAACATTCTATGACAAGGGAATGGAAAAGCTTGCCCACAGATATGACAAATGCCTCAATCTTCATGGTGATTATGTCAAAAAGTAACCATGTTTGTACCTAACTTTTGGTAATAAATTCATTTTGCTATTTACACTTGTCTTCGTTTTATGGACCATCAGAGCTTGAAAAAACTGCCCTTGTATAATACTCATACAATGTGATTAAACAAAATATTTTAATTTTATTTAATAAAGCAGAGGAAGAGCAATTAACTTAGTTATAAGCAAAATTTAGCAAATTTATATTATTTATACAAATTTTATTTTTTATTTGACTTAGTCAATTAAATATCGAATACCTCTAGTTTTTAACATCAAATGACATATAAAAACTACCCTGTATTGAAAGAAACTCAATCATACAAACAAACTATCAAATCAAATTTTTTCAAACCATTCATTCATAGGATAATTTCAAAATAAAAGACTGATTGACACATTCAAATAAGTCATAAAAAAATAACATATCTTAAAATTTACTGTGTATGTCTGAAATGCAAATTTTAAGAATTATTTTAATCATGAGTAATTTTATATAAAAACCATTATAAATATTTTTTTAAAATTAAAATCAAATGAAAATTTTTTTTAAAAAAGGAAAGTTTAACAAACTGTGTTAAATCAAAATGAATCTTATAAAAAGAGAACTGAATTTATTTTCCAGACCATATTAAATCAAAATCATGTAAAAAAAAAATCCATATAAGAACAGAATTGCATGTATATACAGGGTGGGCCAATGAAAACGAAACAGCAGAGTTATCGTGTTCGTCCAAGCAAATCGCTCGGACAGGTCGATTTTATTCTCAAGGGGAAATATTTTTTTCCTTGCATATGCGGCCCAGCTTAAAAGGTTTTTTATGTTTGTTAATAGTTTGTGTTACTTTTTTCCGAAATAAGTGTTTGTTTAGTTAATAAAAAATGAATGAGTTTTTAAAATATTTTGTTGTCTGTTGTATTCAAAATCACAAAAACTTTATTGCAGAACATATCCCCTTGATAATAAAATCGACCTGTCCGAGCGATTTGCTTGGACGAACACGATAACTCTGCCGTTTCATTTTCGATGGCCCACCTTGTATATATAATTCATTATTTCATACTAAAACTATAAGAACTATAAACTATAAAACTTAAACTATAAAAAAGTCTTCATAGTAAGTTCTTTTTAGTTCATACATACTTTTGAAATTTTTCAAAATTTATATTTGTCTGTTAGATTTTGTTGAACAGAGTATTGTTTACTCCATCAGAAACCAATTCATATCATAAAGGATAAAGAAATTTAAATTTTTTTCACAAAGAATTTTAAAACTCAATTTATATTATTATTATATGATATAGTTTGAATCTAAATTAATAAATAATGCAATGTTTAAACTACCAAAAATTATATATTATCAAAATATATGTTCAGAATAGCAAAGATATTTGTGTAATGATAAATAAAAGTGTTAAAGAAATTTTGTACACATTATCATATTAAACAAACTTTTTTTTAAATTAATGGATTTAAAAACTTTTTTCTAAATTAATGGATTCAAATCATAAAAACTTATTCATGATTCATAGATTATGGTTGAGAACAAAAATGTTATTTCAACTTATGTAATGAATGATAGATTCAGATTTTAAACTAGAGATATATTGCATTATTGTGTTCAAAACTGATGAAATACAGTAAATATTTTATTTTTTGCAATAAAAACTGCAGATAATTTATATAATTGAAGATATAAAGTAAAAATGACTTTATTCTACTTAGCTATAAATTAAGTTAAAACAGATAAAAAGTTTATATGTTAATAGAATATTATCTACCGTGTTTCCCCGAAAATAAGACAGTGTCTTATATTAATTTTTGCTTTGAAAAATGCGCTAGGTCTTATTTTCAGGGAATGTCTTATTTTTTCCAGGAAGAAGAATCCACGTTCATTATTGAACAAAACATTCCCAAGTCGAACTTAGACGAGAGTGACGTATATCCGGTGTGTTGAACTGTCGCCTTTTTATAGCGTCAACATCGAACTCGATGACCAATTAGTGCTTATTGAACCGTAGCACTATGCAAATGTAATGTGGCGTGATTCCTGGCCGACCAATTAGCCATCACCAGCCGTAACGTTATGCAAATCTGTGATTCCCAAGCCATAGTCTTATGCAAATCATGCCGTGTAGCGTAATTGTCTGCTGACCAATCAGTGGCTGTACTTTCAAAAAGCCAACGGCCATTTTCAACCATCTGTCGATGACCGTTACGACTAAAAAAAAACTTCGCTAGGTCTTACTTTCAGGGGAAGGTCTTATATTTCGGAACTCAGCAAAATCTGTGCTAGGTCTTATTTTCTGCGGATGTCTTATTTTCGGGGAAACACAGTATATATATAAAAATGAATGTCTGTCTGTCCTTCATGCATTACCACACCGTGTATCCGATTGCCATGAAACTTTGGGAAGTTGTTTAATATACTCCCGCGAAGGTTTCTCGCATAGTATGATTGCCATCAAACTTTGGGAAGTTTTTTAATACACTGCCGCAAAGGTTTCTGGATTAGTACATTTATCCTACGATAGATGGCGCGAGTGAATACGAGCATCGTGAGTTCGATCGATTTCAAATTGTGAAGACCATTTCCCCCCTCCAAAAAATATCTCTATATATGCATTTGCGAACTGTTATTTATGATATTTGTAATAATTTTTGTTTAATTATTTTATTTCAACTATTTTTTCTAATTATGTATTCGCCCGAACTTTGTTAAAACTTTAACTGTATCCCGAACAACAACCGAAGTTGTAGGAGGAAATTCGCCTAATTTACTGATCCAAGGATCCCCTTTTCCAAATTTTAATATTGACTCAAAATAATTTAAAAAGACAAATTACAATAAAACGGTTTATCATCCAACTATCAGAAATTTCACAACATGCCAAGGAAGAAAGGAAGGAGCAATTAAATAATTCAAATTGTAAAGGATTAAAAAATATATATAAAAATGGGGAATATTGCACTTATGACAATCGCTGCGAGTGTGTGGGCTAAATTTGAAGAATCCGAGCTTCTCGCATGGACAACTGTATGTGGCCAGCTCACACGTCAGAAAACCTTCTGATTTATTCATGTACGCACCAGATGAAAAAACAAAAAATATCGTGTATCCACAAGCACTCCAATAAATAAATAGAATTCAAAAGACACTTTAAAATGTTTTCCTGATGAAAATTAATAATAATAATAATAAGTTTCAATAAAAATGATAAAATGTAAATTTAATTTTATCATAACGAGTTCGCTTGAATTTTGTTTCTTCTGAGATCGCAGCAATGCGCGACGGGTAAGCTAGTATTAACATATAAATGACATCTGTGGTCCAAATTGATGCAAGATTATAGAATGTTTTTGTTTTTTTCACAAAATTCTATGTATTATATTCAATATGTATATTACAGACATTACTGTACATTTTGGACCACTACACACTGCTGTATGCTTCTAATTCTTTTACACACACTACTATACTAAAAAATCTGCAAAAATGTTAATGAATACATTATTGTTGGGGTTTTTAGTGCATCATGTTTCCAAATAAATTCTTCTTTGCAGAATGCTGGCATGCCAGATTAATACCAAGCAATTCTGAATTATCAGATGCTGGATTAATGAACTTACACTGTGTATGTGTATGTATATATAAATAATAGAATTTATTAACTTTATTATGAAATTTCTTTAAGAACTGTAACCAGAAATCATTTCTTAATTAAATTAACACTAATTTTAGTAATTAGAGAATTTGAAAATCATATGAATGGCTATAAGCTAATCAGCAATACTTAATCATATGTATCTGGAGTTTGAACATACTAGTAGTTTAAAAACTGTTTTATTTCCGAAACAGATTTCCACCTGTTATAACTATTGTAACTTCATACGGAAGATATATTCCAGTTCATTAAAACTTTTTTTATTAAAATAAAACTTATATACATTTCATGTGATAATCTTACTGACATAACCATTCAATTTTCATATAAATGCCATAATTAATATGAAAAAATGTAACTGCATTACTTAACAATTTACTTTTTTAAATTTACTTACCTCTTCTTTGTCAAGATCTTGCAAAAATTCATTTTTTGACAACGAGTCTGATTTAAAGGTTGACAATTTCCCATGCCTATTAAATAAGAATTAAAATTTTGAATAACTCATTCATTTCATCATATTTTTTCTGAAAAATTAGAATCACAAATTAAAGACTATTTTTACTGAGAAAACAGCAAAAGATTTTTATAATAAAAAGAAATGTATTACAGTAGAACATCCATTATCCGGATTTTCGATTATCCGGATTGTCCAAAATAAGCAAAAATTTTACGAATTTGCTGATTTGCATTTGGCGAATTACGACACTGTTTATGTACATGATGGAATGCATAACTTTTTTTGTTTCAACAACGTCTCACCCGGCACGGTGGTCGTAAACTCTTAAATATATTTTGCGTCGTAATAAAAATATAACTTGGCATACGTATTTATAAATAATTTATTTTCAAATTACATCATTTCTATGACCAAGGGCGGCGTAAGGCACGGACGACGTGGGCCACCGCCTATGCCTCGCGATCCGAAGGGCCTCGCGTTTCGAAGGTTTATGCATTACTTAAAAGCCGCGAACGCGACGAAAAAATTTTACTCGTCATAAAACGATAAGTAGTTTGTCAAATTTTTATTCATAAAAATGCAGTTTCAACTGCTTTTTATTTTATAAAATCCGTCTTCTCGCGCCACCAGAGGGCCTTTTAAACAATAGGTAGTCTGTTAACGTTGGTCAGTAGTAGTCCAAATTCAATACGAACGTTTGTTTCTTGAAAATTTATCACGATTTAAATACAGTATTTACTTTTAATATTACCGATATGTCGTCGAAAAGAAAACGTGTTGTATTATCATTAAAAGACAAATTAAAGTATTTTTTCGATTATCCGGATTTTTCCTTATCCGGACTACCTTCATCCCCAATTAGTCCGGATAATAGAGGTTCTACTGTATTTATAAAGTATATTGCAGTTCTTTCTGACTATATTGCAATAATCATAGATAGAGTTAATATACAGTTAAATACCCAAAATTTTAACCCTTTCTCTTCCAAAGAAAAGTATAAAAAATTCAAAACTAAAATTCAGAACTGCACATGCTCACCTGCCAGGTAACCATCTTGATATATGAGCCATTCACAGGCCAAATTGATTAACTCCATTTGTAAATCCTTAATATAATTGTTATTATTTTCAAATGTTTCATGTAACTAATTTTATATATCATTATATTAAAGCATAGCTTCAATATAATGATATAATATATCATTTAATAATATATAATATAATAATTAGCTTATATAATAATAAGCTTTAATATAATGATATATAAAATACATTCTACAATGTTTATTTAAATTTAAAGTTTGAAAAGAATTTTTTTAAATAATTTATATTATCAATTTTTATACTTTTTGCATTGTAGAGTTAATCGATTTGGCAAGTGAGTGGCTCATATAATAAAGCATGTATTGCATGTCATTTCTAGATTGTGGCAACTAGCCAATAATAAAATTTTTAAAAATTTGAGAAAATAATTTTTCCCTATTTTTTCACTACAAAGGATAAAATGTAAGAAGTCAGAGGTGTAAACAATTGGGAGGTTAAAAATGAATAATTTCAACCATCTCATTTGAAAATGTAACAGTTTGGAAGGATGTTATGTTTTTGGAGGTTTAACTGTAAAATATTGGTATATATCTATAATTATATTTTCAGAATAAATAATTACTATAATTTCCAGCTAATAATCCATAGGTGTAATTTTTCATTATCAAAATAAATTTTCACATCATCATTAATTTTCACAAGTACATTTGCTTTCTTTGTGCATCAGCAATAAAATGATGCAATTTATAAGGACATTTAAGAATTAAAAAAATATATCCAAATCTAAAAAAGATTTAAGCAATTCATTTTAAAATGGTACAATAAAAATTTAAAATCTAAAATTATACAATACAGTTAGTTTGTACTTTACATATACTGTAATAATACAATACCAGTAATATCCAGCAATTTACTAAATATAATAACAACAAAAACAAAAGTTTTTGATGATATATTGAAAACAAACCAAATTCCCTAAATGAGTCATTGGGAAGTTGTAAATTACAAAACATTCATTTTATAATTTACATTTGTTTTGTAATTTACAACTTTCCAATTTATGACAATTTTGGACATCATAAGTATATAAAGAAAATTATTTTTGAGTCCAAACAATCAATCACACTTATTAATGACATGATAAAACAAATGTTCTATAAAAGTAAAATGGACAATAAATACACTACAGAGCAATAACACTCAAGTTTAATTATAGTTAACTGCAATGCACTATTTATATTTAAAAAAAAAGAAAAAAAAAAACAAAACTAACTTTCTGCAGAACTATTCAACCTAGGATTATTCCAAATTTATAATGATTTAAAAAAATAATTATAAATTAAATATATAAAAATTAATAATAATAAAAATAAAATTGATTACATGCAAACATGACAACATTTCCTCAATATGATTTTTGAGTCCTTTAAACATAGTTATCTTCCTAACGTTTTCATGAATCTTTGTATTAACAAAATATCATTATTAAATAAACCTCTAAAAATTTTTTTGGATCTTCTGAAGCAAACTTCTCCATATCAGCAGTGAAAAAGACAAGTCTTGTCATGCTGCATCATGAAGACAAAGTTTTCTTGGACAAGCTGTTAAAGTTAAACATCATCAATCATTATTGATTACATTAAGCTAAAAACATATCAAGTTAAACTTAAAACATATTTTAAACAGACATTGGCTTGGAGATGTTTATTGTAAGTAACACTACATTCCATTCACAAGTACAAGTGAATAGATCCATTGGCACCTTTGTCCCTTACACTCACTCAACACAAACAACAAGACACTCATCACATTTTATCATATCAAGAAAACTTCTTAACATAAAAAGTAAAATGATTTTAAAGCCATTTTTTATTGTTGTACAAAAACTGTCACAGATTATAGATAACAATCCATAATCTGCATCATTAAAGTTGGAAGGTTTTTAATATACAATCTGCAGATTATAGACTGGAAATTATATTTATTGGAATTCGCAACACAAAGTAGCTATAATATTCTGATTTAAGTGATTATTTATTCCTATCCAACTGTCAAGATTTAACTAACTTAGACATAATATACAGATATCATGTAATTGTTCCGTTTGTTTCTTGAAAATTTATCACGATTTAAATACAGTATTTACTTTTAATATTACCGATATGTCGTCGAAAAGAAAACGTGTTGTATTATCATTAAAAGACAAATTAAAGTATTTTTTCGATTATCCGGATTTTTCCTTATCCGGACTACCTTCATCCCCAATTAGTCCGGATAATAGAGGTTCTACTGTATTTATTTTTANCACAGGCATATTATAAAGAACGCCACATTTATTTAAAGTTTTAAAATTTTCCTTTAAATCAATCAACATTAAACGAGGTGTATAAGTAACTTCACCCTGTAAAAAGCAATTTAAAAATTAGAAAAAATTTTCAAATGATAAAAGAATCAAATTACAAAGATTAATAGTAAGAATTAAATTAATGATATCATATTTAATGCTAAAAATCTTTTATTAATCTTTTGAGCTATTTGATATAAAATTAAAATAAAAAACAAACATTAGTTCTGTTATTTTTCAGTAATAATATAATATCAACATGTTCTATTCTTTTAGTCGTTAAAAGACTAGTTTTAGTCTAATATCAAAATTATGCTGCTAGTATAATACTAGCAGCATAATTTTGATACAATGACTTATTTAAACTATCACTTTTTAAACCTAATTGTATAATTGGAATATAAAATATAAAAATATTCTTAGTGAATAAATAAAAATGTAATAAATAAATAAATATGAGAAAATATTATTTTATTTAATAAGTTATAATTTTTGAAAAGTGAAAATTATTTTAACTAAAATAGTTTGAATTTCTAAAACTAGTTTTTAAATGACTTTAAGAATAGAACATATTGACTTCATTGCTTAATTAATTAATAACAAAGTAAATATATCCCAGAGATTATTTCTTGAAAAAATATTAAAATAAATTATTTTTCAATTTGTAAAGATATTTATTTCTTGAAAAGATGTTAATTGTAAAATAAATTATTAATGCTAAGCTATCTTTGTTATGTTATCATATGATAAAAATACAATAAAACGTTAACTTCAATTATATTCAGCATACCAGAAATATCTCAGATGATATGTGTTATTCAATCTTTTTTCAAAGCAGGAATTTAACCCTTTTACTATGACATGGTCAGTTGTATTATACCCTTGAAAACAGCTATCCAAACTGCAGTCACTCAAAATCATTTTATGTATTTTATTTTAAAAATTCAACAAAAATTGAATTTTTATCAGAGAGATACAAAAAAAGAATCAAGTATGTTTACTATTTTATGTAGTTTTTGGTACAATAGTGTATAATCGCTCAGAATAAAAATTACTTACAAAAAAAGGTTAAATTATGACCTAAATTTTTGATGTTATATATTACTTTATTTTGACAAAAAATAAAATTCTTTGATTTTGATATTTATTTTTGGCATTAAGCCAGCACAAGAGAGAATATTGTTTTATACATGATGATATAAGATTTATGCATATTTATTTTTTCGTGAATAATATCACTTTATATGAAACAGTCTATATGTACTGATTTTCTCTCTATGTACTCTTAGTATGTAAGATTAGTAGAACATTTCATTTTAGGCAGTAGGCAACTTTCAGCAGTAAGCAGAAAATACTGAAACTATAGAACAATAAAACACACTACACCAAAACGTCGATTAATAAACGTGTGTTATTTGTTTGAGAAAATAAGTAAATAACTAAACATATATATGTGTCACCGTGAAAGACCGAAATTAGAGAATGTCAATATTCTCTGGTGTATGTCGACACATACGAAATATGTTGGTAAAAGACTAAATATTTGGTTATATTATTATACATTTGAACAATCGCCTGTGTATGTTGACAAGCACAGATAAGCTTTGGTGGAGGTCGAAACGACACCTGAGAAGTCGATGTCAACAGAAAGACAACAGTCTGTTGCCAAATCCTTTGTTCTGCTGCAATTGAAATCACATGGTATCTATTTGTTATACTCTGGAACACTGCTGTTTGTCAGTCTTATGCAAGGTTTGCTGGTGCATGCAACATTTTCTTAAATTTTACTTTTTTATCCGATACCCTAATTTATATCGAATGGATACTGCAGTGAACCAAGAACTTGTTTTTTGAAAAGTTACATGCATTAATTGCAAATAAATGAGAAGACAATTGTTTTTATTTTTCTCAAGAAAAGTACTCTAAAATACTTTCTGAGTGATTTCTACTAAAACTAAGTGCAGTACACCTTTGGATTACAGATGATTAAAATGTTTTGACATTTTAAAAATTAATGATGAAGAGAAATTAATTGTACAATTAAAACCAGGAGAAACAAATATACAGTATTATGCCACCAATGATAAATTATTAAGTATACTATCTGAAATTCACAGCAGAACAGGCCATGGAGGAAGAACACATATGCTTAAAGAATTGTAACTTAAATACAAAAATATTACATATGAATTGTATTTAAATTTACATATAATATTACATATGTTGTATTTAAATTTTGTAAACAATGTCAAATGAAACACAGTGCACCTAAAAAAGGTATTGTTGTGAAACCAATGGTCAGTTCAGAGTTAAACTCAAGACATCTAGTCTATCAGATAGACCTGTAGTCACACAAGGATGGTGAATATAAGTTCATAATGGTGTATCAAGATCATTCAATGAAATTTGTCCAGCTACTACCTTTGAAAATTAAAACAGCTGAAGAAGTAGCATATAATCTTCTTCAAATATTTTTAACATTTGGTGCCCCAGCTTTATTGCATTCAAATAATGGTAGGGAATTCTGTAATAAATTCATATCCAAACTGTGTGTTATGTGAAAAGATGTTAAGATAGTTCATGGAAAGCCTCATCATAGTCAAACACAAGGCTCAGTTGAAAGGGCCAATCAGGATATACAGAATATGTTAACTGCATGGATGAATGATAACGATACAAATAAATAGTCAGATGATTTGCCGTTTGTACAATTTGCCAAGAATACTACATATCACAAAGGAATATGCCAAAGTCCTTATGAAGCCACGTTTGGCATTAAATCAAAAAGAGGCATAGCATCGTCATCTTTGCCTGGTGAACAAATCACAAATATTGAAACTGAAGAACAGCTTGAAAAAATTGTTAATACTTTTGAAGGAAATTTGAGCAGTGGCCATAACGAATACCATATTCCAAAGAAAAATATTGAAGAGGAGCTGCAACCACCAAATCTTCATGTCAAGCCTTGACTGAACAACACAAATTTATTTCTATAAAAAGAGCAGCCACAAAAGAGATTCTTCTACTTCAAGCAATGAAAATGCTACAAAACTCAAAAAGAAAATTTTCTCCTGCTCAAATTGGTGATACCATATGAATACAAGTCCCTGCTGTTGACCATGGCCGTACAGATGCCCAAAATGTGTTGGCAGTTGTTGTTGGAACAGAAGACTCCAACTTTTATAAATTAGCAAACAAAAAAGGTACCCTCAAGCAGCTTTATACCCACAATCAGTTCGTAATTTGTAAAGAAAAGTTACTTTCCATATATGAGATTTCTTCTCAAGAAATATCGCTGAGAGAAGCAGTTACAGCTAATTCGAAAAGTGGAGGATAAGGCTATACGTACATGCTGTCATTGCAAAAAGAAGTGTTCCACGAATAAATGCAGTTGTAAAAGCAAGGGACTCTTGTGTAATTCAAAGTGTCATAACAGTTTAAGTTGTTGGAATAAATAAGATTGTTTAACATTAATCACATAATATATGTGTAAGTTTACTATTGCGTATTATTTTTCTTTTCTGATTAAGAATGTACAATTCATTTTAGGTTCAACAGTTTATTTACATGTGCTGTTACTTAAGCTTTCTCCTATTTTGACACATTAAAAAGTTGCATTTTTGTCTTAATGTAATAAAAATATTTTTATTCAACATTCATCATCAGTACATGCTGAATGTCAACATTTGCCGGTGTAAGTGAGAAATAATGATATTTAGCAAATATTTCGTACATACACGAAACAACTATGTGAATGCTGACATCCACTGCAGAATCTCGACATTTGCCAGATATCGGCCTTTCACAGTAATATATATAACTTATAGGCAATAAATGGTAAATACTGAAATTGTAAAACTATAAAATGACTACAGAAAAAAATCAATTGGTGCACTTGTCTCCTTTGTTTGAAAAAATAAATAAATAAAACTAATTAAGAAAATAAATAAATTAATAAAATACACACACACTCACACAACTTACAGACAATGAGCAGCAATAAAATATCACCAAATATGAGTAAAATAATGCAGAAAATTTTTTATTGAAATTAACCATATATCATCACATCACTGTAAAAAGGTTAAAAGCACTGGAACAATAATTAACAGTTGTTAAATAATTAACAGGATTTTAGAACATTGTAAACAGAAAAGCACTGCTATGAGACTGTACCTGTACATAGCTGTAAGAGGCAAACAAATTCTATTTTGATTTGTTTTTGTAATGCCTGCCTTAAATTTATTCTTAAATTTGACAATTTTGTATGTCTTGTTTTAAACAAATTTTTAAAAAATGTACTTTCTTAAAAACGTCTTCAAATTCATCTTTTCTTTAATTTATGAAATCCAGTGTACACATATAATTCAATAAATTAAATATAATTTTTTTAAATGTTTAATTTGTAAATATAAATATCTACCCTAGGATTTTCTCCTTCACGAAACAGGTAGTCATGATTAACTTCCAATGATTGACTGTCTGTCTTTTCATAGCAAAATGATGATTCCTTTCAAAAAAATAAATATTTTATTTTATTATTTTAAGTTTTGATAAAAAAAAACATTACTATTTTTAAAATAAAATCATATCATATAAATACAAAAAAATATATTTATTTAATACAGTAAAAAGTATAAGAGTACAAGAATATTATGTAAGAGCATGCTCTTAATGTGCCAGCTTGTTTTGGCTTATAAGAGAATTGCACTGCTTTGCACTGTGTCAATGTAAGTTAAATGTAAATGTACTGACACAGTAACAATCCAGTAACTTCTCTGTGGTAAGCATTATTAAAAAAAAGCAAAATAAAAAAATGCTTCTTGTACTAAATTATAAAAGATTTTTTAAATAGGGAGTTATTTTATATACTTTGTAAAATATAGTGCTAATTTTGTCCCATCTATAAGAGCAGGCTCTTACATGCACAGAAATACAGTATGATTTGGTTCTGAAAATTATAATGCAAAAATGAATACCAAAAAAAAATTACTTTTAAAATATTTATATATTCTTATACTATGTGTATTTCTTTCTATTAAAAAAATTGTTAAAAATTTTTTCTGATCATAATTTCCAAAACTTTTTGTTAATATTTCTTAATTTTCAAAATAACTGTTTAAATTAATAAAACAACTTTTTAAAGCATGATTCATGATGCATACAGACTTTATGGTCATTTTTGTAGAAGAAATGGCCATAAAGCAGTCATGGCCGGATCTGGCCCGTCTAATCAATTTATGTGGCCCGTGATCAATCTTTCAATATTAGCTACTCAAGTCCAAATAGCTTTATGAAAAAGTCTGACACCTAAAAAAAAAAAAAGGTCAACAACTCACTGTGTGTTTAGAGTTACCGCTCCATTACAAATCTCTTAAGTACAGCATAAAATGTTGATAAAGCATGATAATGTGAAAAATGTATGTAATCCCTATGTACAATTTAGTCTCTACGGGGTGACACCACAATGAAATCTCGCACCACCTCAAATCTTCCAAGGGCAGCCTATGGTTTGGCCCATGGAAAAAGTTTTCTATCCAATTTGGCCCAGGGGCAAAAACTATTGGCCACCCCTGCCATAAAGGCTTTATGCATCTAGCATGTTTTCTTAGTCTTTCTGGTAGAAAATAGTCTGTTCACAACATATGCAAGAGATATATTCCTGGACTTTACCCACAAGTTAAATATCTCTGATTTGTCAAAATTACAAAAAAACTACATAATATCCTCACGAGAAAGACACAAATAATTATGTATCATAGCAATTAAAAATGTTATTTGTTACGAAAAACTTTTAACATATAAGCGTTAAATTATATACGTATGTCACTAAATTGACAAGTGCTTTTGACGATACACAAAAGTTTTTCGTAACAAATGATTAGCGTGCTGTCTATCATTATATTATAAATGTTATTTGTAGATAAAAGTAGCCAGAGTGGACACAAGAAAAGAAAACCTAATGTTAATGATTGACCATTTTCATACATGCTTATTATTTTGGCATGCTGATCCAAATCAATCACTTTATCACAAAAGTGTACCAAAATCCAAAGTTACATACCTCAGGGGCTAACTATATCATATGAGCCGAGTTTTGAGGTAAAAAATCAAAAACTGAGGATTTTTTTGCACCATTCGATAGAACATTTATTTCTAAATCAGATTTGGGAAAAAAGTAAGAATTGTAATATGGCAGTGAACAAAAATTTTATATTTGAAAAGTAAAAATTTGCAATTAAACAATTTGGATCAACTCCTTGATTAATCAAGATCAGATAAGAATTTGATGAAGTAACAACAACACTTATCAATAACAAACTGTAACAAATTTCAGGTATTTCTACCTCAATGCAATTAATATTATTCAATACAACTTCAGGTAAATATGGATCAAATCAATAACTTTACAGAAAATAATTTTTTTTTTTTTTTTGCTGATTCTGATTAATTGGAAAGTTTTCTTTTGATTGGTACAAAACAAATCTTGACTATTTGTTACTCAGAAACTTGGCTTATTAATAACAAATTGAATAATGCATTATATGTAAATCTAATACAATAATAGCCCCCCTTGAAGTCCAAACTTAACTAAACTTTCAGGCATTGTAAAAAAGAAAATTTCTCAATTCAACTTTACAACAGCTGAAAACTTAAACACAGTTATCAAAGATAGCTTTAATGATTCACAACTATACAATATTAAAAGACATCCAGAAGAATATAGAGAAAATTAAAATTTGTGCATAGAATGGAAGGGAATATACAGATAACTTTTTACTAGCATGCAAAAGGACTTTGTAGCACCATCTAGAATTTATTCTGTGTTGAAAGATATATGATTATGTTCATGACACATTCATACTGTATACTTTAAATTTATTCACTAATCTTTCCTGATGGACAATAGCTAATTGTTAATGTGAAATTTATGTGTTTACATAATTGTTTATATAGTTATAGTTATATAATTATTGATTAATATAATTATTTATCTTTATCTATATAAATAAAAATGTAAATGTTCTTTTGTTCAAAATCTTAAATATCCGTAAGTTCTTAGTCAATTGCTTTGAAATTTTGACACAACATTGCATTCAAATACACACGTTTTTATATTATACAGTCGACCCCCCTATAAGATATAGATACGTTCCAATTTATTAGGAATCCGATTTCTTACAAGTCGTTCCAATCACAGCCCGACACGTGTCAAGTTTACGGACTACGGCTGATTGAAAGGTTTTCTTCCATAAAATTAATCGATTCTACACTAATCCGACTCAACATTTCCAAAATACGTATATTTTTTTGTAGTTTTATAGGAATCGTAATTATAGGAACTGTAATTATAGGGGGGTCGACTGTATAGATGTCAAAATTCCTCCCATGGGAGAGAGGGACAAAATTAAGGCTTACTGTGAAGAACTCGACTTCTATTATACTATTTTAGATGCAGTTTTTTGCGTTTTTGATTGTGTTTTAATAGGGTACGTCAAGAGAATGTACACTAAGAAGAAATTTTTCGAAATTCCCCCATGGGGAATGTTATACATTTATAATAGATACATTTACTAGCTGTACCCAGCAATGCATGGCTAGGTACAGCTAGTAAAAAATAAAAAAAAGGAATGTTCATTCACAATCATCAATGTTTGCTTACTTATCATGATTGTTTAATATAAAAAATTAATATTAAAGTAAATAAATGCAATCAAAAATTATCTCATTAGTAATGATTATTATTACTAATTATGTGTTCTTAATAAACTAATAAGCCAACGCTTGTCAGTTTATTAGATCTATTTAAATTTTAGAATTACTAAATGACAGTTATTACTTTAACCATTATTTTAATATCCTCGTATGTTATGACATTCTATATAAACAGTTATTATCAGTAAACAGCTATTCTATTTCATGGTACAGAATGGTACAGCTTGTTCATAGAGATATTAAATTAGAAATTGTCAATAAGGTATTTTCACCAAAGAAAAACAGCATATAACTAATCAATTATTTCATGCCTTTTAATACTATTAAAACCAAGTTACAATAAAAAAAAAATTTCAAATTTTCTTATGAGAAATCTGGGCCATACTTTTTATCAAAACAGATATAAGTTATCTTACCCTTTGAATTAACATAAAAACATAAAGTGTTAACATCAATATCCTTTAATCATCTTAATATTTCTTAAATACAAGAAAAATTTATTAAAGGATTTTGAATTATTTTATACATTGGATCTAATTTAAAATTTCTGAATAACTGCATCATTCTTTTATTTTACTAGATTGATAAATATATTGAAAGTAAATCATACTTGGCTATTCCACCAATGAGTACCAATAAAATTGGAATAATTGCCAATTTGTAAGGTGATAACTTCTCTAGAAGACATATTTACAAAGTCGTTTATGATTCAAGATCTAAGTATAGAAAAAAATTCAATTCGATAATTAACAAATCAGCGCCAATTTCACATTTTAAACAACTAAAATACACGACTTCGACTTCCTAATCATAAAAGGAGACACACGTGTTTTCCTCGCGCGCCCTCTACCGGAATACTTCGATACTGCGTAGTGACGATTTTTTTACAAAATGGTGGCTTATGACGTCACTTATAATCGCGAACAGAAGAAACTATGAAGGAAACTCAGTTAACTTTTTGAAGAAATGGAATTTAAAAAAGTCGTATTTAATGCAGCAAGAGATGGAAAGCTGCGTCGTCTAAAGGTGAGGCTAACAAATCTAAATATAACCTGTGATTCCGTCAAAGGACGCCAACTTTACTTAACCCTAATATTGTCTTCAAGGTTTTTGATTTATTTACGAACTTTTTTGAAATAAATTTAACCGTTTTTATTCGTTTTAGTCGATATTCCGATTCTTCGAGTATTAATTTAACTTCTACAATCGGTTTTAAGTGAGAAAAATGTTTAAACCGTATATTTTTAGTCATTCTAAACTAAGGCGTTTCTTTAAAATTCTGACGTAATCGCTATCCGCCTTTGGGCATTGCTTCAACAATCAGCTGTATTAAATTAGAAGGAAAATAATTAAAAAACAAAAATACTGATTCTTCGAAGCCATTCGTATGCCTTGTGTTAAATTCATTTATTTCATCTACAATAAGATATGTCGATTGACAGCAGGTGTACTTCTCTGCTGTATAATAATCTCTGCAACAAAAAGTGATGATGTATTTTTTTTATATTGTAGTCTTTTAAGAAGCTAAAAGTTCTAAATACAAGAAAATGTGATAAAAATTACAAGTGAGATGCCATATAATAATTGTGGCGAGAAACTGTTGGTGCATTCGATGCCGATGGGCAATCCGCCCGAGTTCCTCGGATGACTCAACGGTGGCTTCTGAGAAACCGAATGTGTTCGGTTCTAGGGGAAGTGTGGTTACAAACTCGAAATTTAACAACTTGCAAACAACTGACGTAAATTGTCGAGCTGTAATTTGGAATAAATTAATTATTTCAAATTATAGCCAATGATTTACGGCAGTTGTTAGTGAGTTATTGCATTACATTGGATTTGTAGGAATGTTTGCCTGAAATTTAACGTGTTGATCACAGACCTATAATTTTTAAAACCACTTTTTCTATGCCATTTTAATTTTGTATACAGGTAGGCCTCCTACAACGTGGTAGATACATTCCTTGAAAATACCGTGTTGTGAGAAATCACGTTATAGGAGACACCAACTTAATACAAAAACTGGGATTCGGTTCTAAAAAGAGAAAAACTTGACGTTTGAATGGCATTTTTTGAATTTTTCAAACCAGCCATTGCTAGCCACGAATTTAACACTGGTTTCGTCAGCCGACGACTGTCCCATTTGTTTTAAATAATCAAATATTTTTAAGGCTTTGTGTTTAACTGCACTTTTATTTAAAGGCAACTGTTTCTTGTTCATATCTTCTACCCATAATATTAGCACTTGTTCCATTTTTTTTTTTTCATTATAGGTGCTCTCGGACGAGCAACAATTTTCACAAGAATAGATGATCCGGATACGACTGAATTCCTAATCTTTTCTTCCTATTGCTTAATCTACCGAATAGTTGACTCATTTAAATAAAAATGCCTACCAATATCAGCTATCCGCTCTTGATTTTTAATTCGATCCAAAATTTCTATCTTTGTTTGAAGAGATATATTAATAAATTTCCTTTCTAACGACGGCCCTTTCTTTTCATTCGATATTGTTATGGCTAAAATTTTTTCAAGCAGTTTTGTGGACAGTAAAAATCGCAAAAAAATAACTTCCCTTCACTATGTTGTTAAAAATATAAACCCAATAGAAGTTTATACTGTATTTTGGACCATTTTTGCAGTCCCCACCTATTGAAAGAGTATAAATTATTGAAAATATCAATGATATATTTGAGTGTTTATGGTAACTGATGCACATCTTTCTAGATACCGGTCTTCCAATGAAACTTTCATGGGAATAACACGTCAACGTGAAGAAACAGCTGTTTTCGAGGACATTTAGCTCTGTACACCGAACTCGGCGCGTATTACGTGATCCGTTGCGATTTTTCTGTTATGTGAAAGATAATTTGTTTCTAAATACAGTAAACCGCATTGTAAAAGTACCGCGTTGTAAGAAAATTTCCGCATTTTTCCAACCGCGTTGGAGCGAAAACGCGTTGTAAAGGTACCGCGTTGTAGGAGGCCTACTGTATTTTATTGTGTCAATTTTTCTACTTTTTTTTAAAAAAAATACTCTCTTTCTGTGACTTGATTACTTTTTATTCCTTAATCAGATGTTTACTATTCATTCTTTTTTAATATTTAAATGTATAAGAAAGTTTGTATCAAATGCTATGAGCTAGATCACATTCTACGAGATGACTCTTAGATGGCATCTTAAAAGAAGCTGAACTAGTAGCAGTCGACGTGTTAAAAAGGAATTGACTCAACATGGGAAAACTTATGTGGCATGGACACGGGAAGGATTGACTGATTAAGAGCTCTTTTTTGATTCAATAAGCAAGAAACAATACATTGATACACAAAATATAATTAAAATATAAAAGGGAATAAATGTAAAACCATAGCAATCTTTCAAAAATTGGATGTAAATATAAAGTAAACATTTGTAAGAAAAACAAAAAGTTTAGCAGACATGAAAACTTTAATGACTAACAAATGTTTTTGATCATATTTGAAGGTTGTCCTCAGGTTTGTCCACAAAGCATAAAATTGTTTAAAATACAGACATAAAATACAGTAAGACTCTGCTTAATGCGGGGGAATGCATTTCTAGATGACAAAATGCTAAGTGAAACAGCATTAAACGAGGTCATTTTAACATAGAGTAAATAAGGATTGAGGAACACACAACCAAAAATAAAAAAAATTTTTACTTTAATTTTAAGTTATTTTTATATTAATTTGTATAATAATTTATGTTAAATAACACAAACTTATGCACACAGAAATATATAATAATATATTAATTAGTTCATTTTTTCTATATTAATAGTTCATTTTTTGTGACGAAGGTCCTGACTTTTCTGAAATTCTTGCTTTTTTTTGCAATAAAGTCGTGAAGTTTCACTTGTCGCTTTTTTCTTTCCTTAAGCAAATGTTGGTAGCAGAAGATCGCATCCAAAATGCTTCGTTTTGCTTTTGCACTCATTTCAAAATCTAGATCATTTGCTACAGTTTGATCAACGATTTCAGTTATCGTTAACCAAACTTTTACTAAGGAAATCTGTAGAGAAATTTTTTGGGTTTTTCGTTTTCAAAATCACTATTTTCCAGTTCTACATGGATTCTTTGTTCTGCGTTCTTGAAGGTTGTCGTCGATAAGACCAGAAACCTGCGGTAACGCCTCAATATCCTGTTCGTCTACATCTCCTAGTCCTGCTGTATCGATTAGGTTGAGTTTGATCAACCTATCGATACAGCGATAGGCTCTTCTTGTTGAGCATTCTTGGATACCTTCAGCCATAACTTCTTCCACACTTCGTTCATGCATTCATCAGTTAATTCTTGCCAAGCGAAGTCAATATTGCCTATGGCATCGATGATGTTATATTTTTTCCAAAATTGCATCAAGATTTAAAGAAAGTGCACCTTTTTGCCACCTTTTTCTGATTGATTTGTGTTCATAAATAATCTTATTATAATCGAATCAATGAAATGCCACGATAATTTAAATCAGCATAAGTTTTGAGTTTTTTTTTTTTAGGCTTTGAGCAGATGGTGTTATATCAAAACAGCATTAAGCAGGATCTTACTGTATTAAAAACATAAATACAAAAAATTAAGATTTAAATTAATTGATACAAGACATAGATATATAATAATAATAATTGTTTTTCAAGAATTTTGATAATTATCATAATTGTGTGATAAGTATTAAATATAAAAGAAATTTTGGTTTATTGATTGAAGATAATTCTCTGTTATCATTACCTAAATATGCTTTTTGAAACATAAGTGAAAAAATGTACAAATCGGTTTATTTTAAGTAATGATTTAATGGTAGTCTTTATTATTGAGATAATGATTTAGGTAGGAAGAATGTAAGAATTACAGGAATAGAGAATGTTATGATAAAGTTTAGTTGGTACTTTTTAGTTAACGGGACACCAGCCAATATGTACAGCAATGGGCAAGATTAATCTCTGAATGAGGGGTTTCACACCACCCCCAGAATTGTTGACCCTTTGCAAGATATTCATCTCCAAACATGTTTTTACATACTACTGCCTTTTCTACACGCATAGATGTGTGCCTCTGTGCTCACTATCACTTGCTCCTCAGTGTCCAAGTGGAGATGAGCTCCCACATCCCCTAAAACTATATAACATCAAGTATGCCATGAACAGTCAAGTGAGCTACTTGAAGCTGGCACAGTTTGTGTGAACTAAATTGTTAAATACGATAGTCTTCTAGTCAAAAAGAACCATTTAGTTTAAGGAATAATGATATAGACTCTAGAATCTAAAATATTTCATGATCTTACCAATTTTGTAAGTTTTTTTTATGTACCATACTAGACCAAATATCCAGCTTCCAGAAAACTAGTTGGTTTTGAATTTGACTGGCTGTAGTTCACCATATGGCTTTTTTGTTTGGTTTCTGTGGCATGTGTGCAACATAACACTAGTTTCAGTCTGACTATATACAGTGTGTTAAAAACAGTTTCATTCTTTACACTCCATTGTTTATTTTATATATTAAGTACCGTATTTTAGACTATAAGACACACCTTAATTTTTAAGCAATTTAAAAAAAAAAAAAACATTTTTACTATTTTTACTGCCTAAATTCAGTCCTTTTATATGGACTGAATCAAACGCTGATCCACCAATCAACATTTAGTAGTGCTATCAAACGTCCGCTGATCGTACGATGGTCGCATGATGATCGCTGGCCAATCCGCGGTTGTGGATTCAGAACCACTGGTCATCTCATGATCCGAGTTTCTATGGCGACAACCGTTGCTCGTTTGAAAAGAGAAAAAGTGCGGGAATCGTACGTCCAGACGATTCTATCCCAACACCCTGCAAATCATGTTCATCGCATTAGTGCACTACTGCTGCCAGTCAAATTTAGTGTTGCCAGATAGAGATAGGTTTCCTTCAGCATCAAATGTATGGCCATTTTTAAGACGTGGGAATTTTAAATTGAACACTGGACATTTTTATATTAATTTCGAGTATAAGACACACCTGAATTTTGGAGGCAATTATTCGAAAAAAAAAGTGCGTCTTATAGTTTGTAAAATACAGTATATATTTAGCCTGCATCCAGAAAACTGGAAAATGCATAAATTAAAATCACTTCTGGTCCCAAGCTTGTAGAACTGTGTTGTTTTAATAAGACAATATTGAATTATATTTTAAAACATTACAAAATATGTTGCATGTTTTAACTTATTACAGTAAACTCTTGATTAGTTAAACTTCCTTAATTCTTGTCAACTCAAATTTTATTTTTTGTTTCAACTTAACTTCCGTGTTGTGGCGTTACCAATGGTGATTTTTAGAGTATAAATGAGTTCACAAGCGCTTTTAATAGCATAAAGTTACCATCGTCAGGTGAATATCGAATACAGCTGTTTTCAAATTCTGAGCTTTCGAACAACTTATGAAATTATACAAAGCACGTGGATGGAATACCAACATGAATTTGAAATAGAATAAGAATTCAAAAATTTTTTAACAACAATATGAGTGATGTAATATCCCCAAATATGTGTAGAGAGCAATAATGATGATCTAGAGATGTGGATTAGATTGCTTGAATATTGTTGTCTATATTTGTGGGATTTCAAGAGTTGTTGTGTTGCATGGTGTTAAAGCTGATATGTAGAGGTTCTCCCAAATAATTCTTTCTGATTGTTGCACCATTTGAGTAACTTTGTTTGGGCCCAGAGCGACTGATAATCTTGATCAAACACTTTTTTTTTGCCAATTCCATTGACAGTCTACTGCAGGCATGGCCAACATATGGCCCATCTAATGAATTTACGTGGCCCACAACCAATCTTTCAATATTAGTGCTGAAGTCCGAATAGCTCGATGAAAAATTCTGACGCCTAAAAAGAAAAAAAAAATTTAACAACTCACCATGCATTTAGAGTTAACCCTCCATTACAAATCTCATAAGTACAGCGCAGTGTGTTCATAAAGCATGATAATCTGAAAAATGTATCTGTAATCTCTATCTACAATTAGTCTCTACAGGGTGACACCACAATGAGATCTCGCACCACCTCAAAATCTTCCTAGGGCAGCCTTTGGTTCGGCCTGTGGAAAAAGTTTTCTTTCCAATTCGGCCTGGGGGCAAAAACTGTTGGCCACTCCTGGTCTACTGTTTCTGATGTCCTCCTGATGTTCTAGGACAGGGCTTCTTAAACTATGGGTCGCGACCCCATTTGGGGTCGCTTAGCGAAATCTGGGGTTGCGAAATTTTAAATGCAAAATATTGAAAATAATTTGTGAGAGTTTGAAAATGGTGCGGTTTGTGTCATAGGTTTCGTGAGTTGCGCTTTGTGTCACTTCTGGTGCAGGGAGACAATGATTCAGCAACACTGTAGTGTGAACTAGTGTAGTGTTGTCGCTTTTCAGTGTATTCAGTTATCTCTGTTCCATTGTAACACAAGAGTGAACTGCAGTAATACACCATTATTGTTTTTGCAAATTTGTATACATCTTTATTTTATATTTATTNCGCGAAAAAAATTACAATCATAAATGGGGTCGTGAATAAAAAAAGTTTAAGAAGCCCTGTTCTAGGATGCGAGAAATTAACATTAAAATAAAACCATTCATTCTAAAAAGATGTACTATTTTTAGAAAGACAGGGCCTAAAAACAGTATTGGAGGATATGCTATTTTTGATAAGAATGTGATGTTTTCATAATGCTGCTGAATGTTCAGGCAGAGAGTGATTGGGGAAATGTGCTGTTCTTAGTGACTGCCAAAATGTGCAATTAGCTTTCCATTTGTGTGAACAGCATTAAGAACTGGTTAGTGGATGAACATGCATTCATTGTAAAGGCATTTATTTAATGCAAATTGATAATCTAAGTTCAGAGAACATTTGGCACACTTTAAATGTTACACATGTATAAAATCCTTTCCATAACACTATTCTGAAGTAGTTGGGAGAAGGTTTCATGATCCTAGCAATGTTTGAGATCAATTTACTGGTTCTTCATCAACATTACTGTCATTGACTTATCAGGAATAATTTCTCTCTTTTAAATGAAGATATTACAATAGGATGAATCAGCCTAAAATATGAATTGATTGCATGTGTCAGTCTGTATGCAGAAAATTAACATACATTGAATAAAAATCAACTTTATTAATTTGTAATGAAATTTTGTAATATATAGGTATTCCTCATACAACACAATAGTTATGTTTCAAAACGTGCTGTGTTATGCAAATCCATTCTAACCAAAAAAAAGGGCTAGTGCAATATTTTTCTTAGTAATGAAAAAGAATACTATTCATTTTCATTTCTAAGAGAAATATATTTATTAAAGCAATCAATAATTAAGTAACAATCACAATTAAAAGTACTATATTAAGTGTTAATATTAATTTTAGTTAAACAAGGCATTTTCTTTTTACAAAGTATTGTCATCTGAGCTTTTTTGTTGATCTTGATCCAAAATATTAGAAACATCTTCATTTTTCTTATTTTTATCATAAAAAATTTTTAATGGATGACAAAATAAAAATATGTTATTTATTGCAAATTTTTTCTAGTAGGTCACATTTGTTCAGTCAAATACCAAGTGATTTTTTTTCCAGAATTTGTGTGTTTGAATACTGAATTGTTCAAGTTGGAAACAGTTTGAGTATCAAGATACTGCTGTATTTTGTTTATTTTTACAAATGATTACTTACCTACAGTTAAAAGGAAATATAATAACACTTACCTAAAAATGTTTAAATAAACTTCAGTAAATATGAAGATTAATCTATAAAAACAAAACATAGTGACAGTCTTAAGGGCTAAAGTTTCAAAGCAGCAACAATAATATTTGGTTGATAAGAAAGCTAGGTCAAGGAAGAAATAAATTGCACTATCAGTTTTTATTAAAGTAAACCCGACAAAAGCTACAAAATAAATTGAAAATTTCAATATTCTAAAATCTGTGGGCAATTTTGAGATAACATACATGCTTACTTCAAGAAGAAAACATCAAAGAATGGAGTTTGCACTTAAAAACAGTGAAATTTTGTATAGAGGATTTCTCCAATTTTCAAACCATGTTAGTGCAAAACTGTATTGAGAAGTGCCATGTTGTATGAGGGATACCTGTATAAATAAATATTAAAATTTGAAAAGTACTTTATTATTCAATACAGTGTCATTAATGCAAAGATCAACAAATCTCAGAAATATAATAATAATTTCATGATAGGAATTTTATAATTCTTCTTCAATATACTGAAATTAGAAGTTGGATTAAAATTAATCAAGATCATAAAATAATTATTTTTGTAGAATTCTCTAATAAAAGTAATACTAGATGAATGCTAAAAATGAAATAACAGAAGTTAGATTTAAAAGTAATTTGAACCAAATGCTGTCTATTTGTTGCTTGTTTCTGAACCAATACAGTATTTCTATTCTATTATCAGTTTACAATTTTTTAAATCATAATATAGTTTAGTCAGCATTTTTGTAATTAGCACTCAAAATGTTATTAGTTAAATTTGAAAAATGAATTGTTCACTTACTATTGTGAAATATAGCAATAAAATTTTTTTTCCTACATTAATATACTTTCTACATATAGTTCATACTTGTTTTCATTGAAATAAGTAAACTGAATTATAAATGTCATATTTTTTTATGATAAATGCAATGGTATATATTTTTGTGATTTGCATTTCTCAAGTCTTATTAAAAAATCAACAACAATTGTCCATATCTGAATGGGATTCAAATTGATCTGTCAAAGAAGGAACATTACCTTAGGTGTTAGGCACCATTTCTTATTAAATTTAATTTAATTATAATTATTAAATTTAATAAGAGATTGTGCCTAATGCCAATCTTTAGGCCAAATTACTTAGCATTTAATTATATAATAGTAGCAGTAATATAGCCTGATCTAATACAGCAATTGCTTGGCTTTAATATAATAATATGTTTGTGAATAAGGTGTTTGAGTGTTAATTATTTTCCTGTTGAGAGTGATTTTGGTTATAAAGAGTGTCCCAAAATTTACACAAGAAGTAATTTTGATAGACAACACAGGTTTATAATTAAAAATTGTAAATTTTTTATTGATTTATAAAGTATACAATATAGGGTTATGTATGGAATAGCCAGTGGTGATATTCGAAATATTTAACAAAGGGTTCGCTAACAGAAAATTTTTCCTTAACAATTTTTTTTCGCTCAAATGGTGCATTAGCAACATTGACAGAAACGCAAAAACATTCCTTAAGATACCCATTTAAATAAAAAAGATGTGTTTGCAAAATTAAGTCAGTTAAAATTTAACATTGTTTATGCCAGAACTATATTTTTTTTTATAAATAATAAAAAAGTGTGTTTAAAATGGTTTATTTTGGTACATATTTTAATATTTTTCATTCAAAATATTTTATAAACATAAAAATTGGCTTTTTTTTAATCAGAAAAAGTCATACGGAAAGCAGTTAAACAAGAAAAATTTTTCTAAATCATTTATTTTATTATAATAATAGACAGATGTCATCGTCTCTCGAAATACAATATCTTTCTTATTTCGGTGTTGATAGCCCGACACGTGTTCCGCAGCCATCTTGTATTTTCTCGCGCGCGTGGGATTGTGGGATCTCTCTTATGACTGGATCTATAGTTTTGAGCACTCTCTCGAGTCGATTGCAATTGAACCTTGTTTCAGTCGATATTGAAACGGTCAATGGAGGTTGCACCAGGGGAACAAGGTATAAGGCTCTAGTTTAGTAGTGTTACAGAGTATAATACGTGTATTTTAATATGTTTTTTAAAAGAAACAAAACCACTGAGAAATGTTACATGTGTTTAACAACGGGTTCGGAAAACTTTGAAAATGTTAACAACGGGTTCGGCCGAACCTGTGCGAACCCGCTGAATATCACCACTGGGAATAGCATATCGGGTAAATGGCCTCCACAGCTTTGCTGGCGCATATGCACTCGTTTGTTGAAATTTTCCGTGACTGTTTTGCATAAATGTGGCTGAATTTTGTTGATACAGCACTCAATTTCCTCCTTCAATGCGTGGGTGGTCGTGGGCTTGTTGGCATAAACCTTAGACTTCCAAAAAAAAAAAAAAACCCCAAAGAAAAAAGTTCAACAACATTAAATCGTATGATCTGGGCAGTCAATTCTGATCACCAAAATGGGAAATTACACGACTAGGAAATTACTCATGCAGTAATTGAATTGTTTCTCAGGCTATATGGCATGTGGCACTGTCTTGTTGAAACCATGTGTTGTCCACATTCATATCTTGAGTTTAGGCACAAAGAAACTGGATTATCATGTTGCGATAGTGAGCACCATTAACTGTTATTGCCCGATCAGCCACATTTTTGGTGATGCCTTCAGCTCAAAATCTGCATGAAACAGTGGCATGTTGTGGATGCATTTGTTTCTCAACAATCACTTGTGGATTTTCTGAACCCCAAATGTGAAAATTTTGTCAATTAATCAAGCTATCAAGATGTAAATGAGCTTCATCGCTGAAGATGATTTTGTTCAAAAAATCAGCATCCACTTGTTATTGTTCCATAATCCATTCAACAAACTCTCTTTGCCGTATGTGGTCAGTACGCTTCAGTTCATGAGTCAGTTAAACTTTGTAAACATGAAGATGCAAATTTTTTGTGAGAATACACTGTAGAGCAGGGGTGGCCAACATGAGGCCCGCGGGCCGCATGCGGCCCGCCGGGGGTCGTGTTGCGGCCCGCAGAGCTAGGTCAAATGAACATAAATGTTAACTTTATTGTTCATATCACCAAATGAACATTAGAAGAGTTAAGAAGGTTTGGAAGAGTTCTATGAAACGTATTTGGACAAGGATAAATATCCTGCGTTTTACAAACATGCTCTATCGATGGTTTCGCTATGTGGAAACACTTATGCATGTGAACAACTTTTTAGTCGCATGAAGTACATGTACATCAAATCACAAGTCAGAACACGAATTACTGATGTTCATTTGGAAAACTGTTTGCGTGTAGCGACATCAGTCGAGATCAATTTTGATGCACTTAGTTCTGTAAAACAAATATGTCTCACTTTTAAATATTTTTAAATTGTCTAATAAATATGTTTGATTCTCGGTTATGTTTTATTTTCTTCAAAAAAATAAATATACCTATTTTTTGTGTTTTTTTACATTAAACCAGGCAAGTGTTTGACCACGATCTCAGCTACTGGAAAGCAACGATGTGGTTGAAGCTGTAGCACGCTTGCTTGTTTACTTTAATTAACAAAAAAAATATTAGGTGAGTGAGTGGCCTGGCAGGAAATATTATTTCTAAAGTTTGGCCCGCCTGCTAAAAAGGTTGGCTACCCCTGCTGTAGAAAGCTTCTTGAAATGTTTAATTCTTGACCACGGTGCTGAATTGATGTCCCTGGACTCTCAGCAACACACTCACGAACTGCTTCAATGTTTTGTGTTGAACAACTTGAAGGATGGCCAGAGTGTTTAAGATCACTAATTGATCCAGTCTCCTTAAATTTTTAATTAATCTCTTTCCAGTTGATGAAGTTAAATCACTATTTCAACCATATTTTGTACGAAAATTGTGAAAACTGCTGAAAATTGTGAATAGCTGCCAAACCTTCATTATTTTTAAAATATTTCTCAACAACGAAAATGCGTTGTTCTTTCGTGTAGCACTCCATTTTTAATAACCCTGAACTGTCAGCTATTACGTTGTCTTTTTTTTTTTTGTTGGCAACACCTTACCACACAAATGATGCAAAATTCAAATCTTGCGTGAATTTTGGGACACCCTTTAAACGTTCATTTAGAATATCTAATTTTCGAAATAGACCATAAACAACTACTATACTCTTTATTTGGAATTATAATTTAGAATACTTTTGCTGAAGCCTATGATATCAATAACAAATAAATATTTCTGTAATGTATTTTTATTTTTCAAACTTACCTTATAACATAAAATACGGCTTAAAAAATCAATTGAAATGTCAAAAAATGCATAAACACAGAAATAGTGTGTGTATATATATATATACACACACTATTTCTGTGTTTATGCATTTTTTGACATTTCAATTGATTTTTTAAGCCGTATTTTATGTTATAAGGTAAGTTTGAAAAATAAAAATACATTACAGAAATATTTATTTGTTATTGATATCATAGGCTTCAGCAAAAGTATTCTAAATTATAATTCCAAATAAAGAGTATAGTAGTTGTTTATGGTCTATTTCGAAAATTAGATATTCTAAATGAACGTTTAAAGGGTGTCCCAAAATTCACGCAAGATTTGAATTTTGCATCATTTGTGTGGTAAGGTGTTGCCAACAAAAAAAAAAAGACAACGTAATAGCTGACAGTTCAGGGTTATTAAAAATGGAGTGCTACACGAAAGAACAACGCATTTTCGTTGTTGAGAAATATTTTAAAAATAATGAAGGTTTGGCAGCTATTCACAATTTTCAGCAGTTTTCACAATTTTCGTACAAAATATGGTTGAAATAGTGATTTAACTTCATCAACTGGAAAGAGATTAATTAAAAATTTAAGGAGACTGGATCAATTAGTGATCTTAAACACTCTGGCCATCCTTCAAGTTGTTCAACACAAAACATTGAAGCAGTTCGTGAGTGTGTTGCTGAGAGTCCAGGGACATCAATTCAGCACCGTGGTCAAGAATTAAACATTTCAAGAAGCTCTCTACAGCAGGGGTAGCCAACCTTTTTAGCAGGCGGGCCAAACTTTAGAAATAATATTTCCTGCCAGGCCACTCACTCACCTAATATTTTTTTTGTTAATTAAAGTAAACAAGCAAGCGTGCTACAGCTTCAACCACATCGTTGCTTTCCAGTAGCTGAGATCGTGGTCAAACACTTGCCTGGTTTAATGTAAAAAAAACACAAAAAANAAAATGTAATGCTGATATTGAACAAGTAAGAAAGCAAAGATTTTAAAAGCTTTGTTAATTTAATGAATTATATTTTTAACATCTAAACTATATAAAATTTAGACTAAAAAAATTAAATATCAAGAATGATTACAGTCAATATAGTTCATAGACAAAAAAATTTTTTTTTAATAATAAAATATGATGAAAGGATTTAAATATATATCATTCATTATTATTAAGTTTTTACAAGTTCAATTTATTTCATAAAATGATTTATAGTTTTAAGTTTATAAAAATATTTATATTATGTCTTTAGCTTTAAATTTACTGAATCCAAATTAGAATTTAGAAATTTTCATTCTAATTTTTAAAAATAATTTATTTCAAATTCATATTTTACATTTATTTACTGCATAGCACTTTATAGTGAAATAGTCTAGAACCTTTAATAATGTCAATAGAATAATAAATACATTAAAATAATATGAAAAACTGTAAAATTCTATATACAATATTTTAACTTTCCAACAAAATATGAGTCAGAAGTTTTAGATCAGGTGTTTTTTTTTTAATCATATGACATCTTCATAAAAGTATTTTTTTGTTAACACCTTATCAAAAAATATAAACTATTTAATTTTAATGAATTATAAGAAAGAACATTTAGTAATAGCTAATTCATTAAAAAAATGTAAATATCTTTTAAATTTTACTCAAGAATAGAAGATGAATTATTCAATTACTCAATTAAAATATATGTTGTCATTTTGTAACACTTATTAAGTATTTTTAATTTTAGATATGCAGTAAAACTTCTCTAACTCAAAACTTTATTGGGCAGGAAAAAATTCAAATTAGAGAACAATAGAATAAAAAAATGCTGATTCTGAATACATTTGTATTTTTACCTCTCTTGCATTATATAAAGAATATTTGATTTTTTTAATTTTTTGTTTTAAACAGCCTGTAATGCCTTTCAGCAAAATGTTCAATATAACTAATGGAGTCAAACAGTTTTACAGATACATCTTGTTGAGATAAAGTGAGAGAACTGCTTGCTTTGAACTAGAATGTTGTCTGAAAATTGGTGTTGGAGTGTGGATACCACTAACTTTCTGAAAATTTCATAGAAATTCAATAATTATGATCACTTTGGATAAAATAAATATTAAAATTTGAATTGGAGAAGTTGAAAGTAACATAAATCAGTGTTAGGGACCACGATAAACTTCAACTTGGAAAAAATTTGAGTTAAGAAATTCAAGTTGGAGACATTAAATCCGTATGCTATTTGTTTGAGACCTACCAAGTGCTTCATTTTCTTTCAGTTAAAGAAATATTTGAATTAGAATTTTACTCTATCTGATTATCTGATCAATTATGAAATACAGCCGATTCTGCTTAATTGGGACACATTGGGGTGAATCCATTTTGGCCCAATTAAACAAACTAATAATAAATTCTAAAATAAAATATGTAATATGTAGGTAAATAAATAAGTAGGTAAAAAATAATAATTAGGTACCTATTTTAATGCTTTATTTAACAAAAATACAGAAAATATTTATACTATAAATTTGCCAGACTCATGATGATATATAACTGCCAGACTGATTTGCATTGTGCTAGTGTTGTTAAATACAGTATTACTAGTGATGTACACAAGGGTTGACCGTTTGATTCGTTCCTGATGAATGATTTTTCTTTACTCCCTTTTGGTTAGAACATGTTCTAACTCAAGAGGGAGAAAGGAAAGGGTTAGTCTAAAAGTTACCTTATGGTCTTCCTTTGAGCATAGTTTCCTTTACTTGAGATTGGCCACTTCAGCAGGAGCGTCCATAGAATCCGCCAGTTCCAGATTCTGGTCAATGATTGGATGGCTGCTGTTTGAATCTAGACATAATCATGCACAAAATACCTTCCAAGGAAACTTTAGCTGTCTTTGAACTCAAGAGACCTCAAAAAATTGTCCAGGAATCTTTGTCCATTCACTTATAAGTGGATTGTCCAGTCCAATCCAGAGCAGGATCAGTAGCTTACATTCAGGTCTGCCTCAGACAGGATTCCTGTGTGATACATCCTGCTATGGACCCCCTCCAGAAAAACTGAACTGCCCGAGCAAGAGACAAAATTACTTTGTCTCTGCCGGCCATTAGACCTACACGAAATTAGTGTATGTAGTGTCTACATATTTTCAGAAGTTCCCTAAAAGATATCAAAAATTGCTAAATTCCTTTTCTGCTACTGTCCCAATTAAGCAAGAAGTTGTCCCAATTAAATAATTAAATTATGTAATAATTTATTAATTTGGTTTCCGTTCTTTGAGATTTGGACCAATAAAGCAGGTGGCCCAATTAAACAGAATTGACTATTCAGATGTTTAAATATGAAAATTTAGAATAATTCTTGTAGATATTTATATAAATTTATTATATTTCACTGTATTTTACTTCAAGGAAACATTTCATTTGTATAGTTTCCAAATAAAATATTACGTTTGATTTTATGCACATTGTCCAGATTTTTTTTGTTTTCACTTAGGTTTTTTAGTCTGCTATCAAATCAAAATGATAGTCATACCATTTACATAAAATTAAGTATGCATTAGTCAAATTTTTATTAAAAAAGTAATACTAAAAAAATGAAATAAAAATGAAAGTTTCATTTTTATTATGAAAGTAAATAATAGAGTTCTTTTTGTTCAATATTCACAATTGAAATCCTGTTTCATCTGTTCATTTAATTACAGTATTATCCAGCAATGTTGTTTAAAGATCTTAAGAAATAGTATATAATAAGAATATTGTATAATTAAAAGAAATTAAAATTTAAAAAGTAACTATCTGACAAAAGCAGTTATATATATACTCTCATTCACACAAATGAAGTACAAATGCCTTCAGTTTTTCTTTATAGGTTTTTGAAGAATGGTGTAAAATGACAGCTGTTCCATAGGATACTCAAAATTTACATATTTTCAATACATGAATTTTGGAAACTGAAAAAATTTTTTACAAATGTTTTAGTATTGTAAAATCAATTCAACTAATTTGTTGAACAAGAAAAATATTGATAAAATATCTGATTCATTAACACATATTTAAACCTTTCAATTTACTAGTCTGTAATATAATGATTTTTTAATGTATACATAACAACCATATTCTAATTTAGAATCTTATAGTGATTTCAAGATTATTCAGAAATGATACTAAGTTGTCAGCATACTGTATCAAATAATACAAAAATACTGTTGTTTTAAGGCAATCAAAAGTTGTATTTAAAATGAAATACTTTCAACCTAATTTTAGGCTATCTTCAGCATTAAATAAACTTTACAAACAACAAGGGATCCTATTTTGTTTGTAAAGTTTGTTTGATATTGAAGATAGCAAAAATATTTTATTCTATACTCTTTGACAAAAAATTGACATACCCCAAAAATAATCCAATTGCAATCAAATGTCATATTCAAATATCTTTTGCCCAAATACTCAAATGATAAAAAATTTAACATTTATTGAATAAATGATCTGAGCCCATTAGAAGTGCCCATCATGATGGTGTACATAAAGAATGATTCTTGTTTTAGGGAACTGAACTGCCAGTGGAGTTTGATTATGCTAATCTTCATTGATTGTGAACAAGCCTTGCCATTGAATTCATGTCCACTGCAACCACATGATAGAGTTTGAAAGAGGACATGTCATTAACTAAAAGATGGTGGATGGACAAATCAAAATATCGCCCAACATTTGGGTCGGAGTGATGTGGCAATTGGATAACAATGGCACAAATGGGTCTTGAACAACAAAGTCCAGAGAAAAGCAGACAGTGGTTGACCTAGAAGGACAACAGAATGGGAAGACAGAATGATTGTTCAAGCAGCTGTAACAGCACCAAAGTGACCACCATTTCATTTGATAGCTGGACCTCATTACTGATAGTTCATGGCATCCTCACAGCATAACAATATGTTGACACATTCTGAGATCTGTTAAGATACCATTCCTTTTGCAGCACTCGGCATACCTTTCAACAAGATGATGCCCGGCCACACATGTTATGCCTCTCATGTGAATGTCTTCATGGTTACAACATCCTTTCTTAGCCAGCCAGATCACCAGATCTCTCTCCAATTTAGCACATTTGGACCCTGATGGGGTGTCACCTATGACCATCTGGGAATGTTGATGACTTAGCCCACCAATTGAACACTGTTTGGAAGAAATCAAGAAATCCCACAGGACACCATCTGTCAACTTTATGAATCAATGCCAAGCTGGATAACAGCTTATATTCAGGCAAGAGGTGGAACAATGTCTTATTCACTTCCTCACTTTGTCTATATCTTTCCCTGGAATAAATCATTTAACTGTTTTGAAATTGTAATAATTTTATTTTTTTTTTTGTGCATATACAATAAATGTACCAAATTTTGTTCCAAATTTGGATGATTCCTTCTTACATGGAAACTGTTGGAGTGTCTTTTAATAAATATTAATAAAATTTAGTTAATAATTATGTTAAAAGTATACAAACTCTATATTAAATTTGTAATATTCACTAAAGGTGTTAATCAGAGTTAATAGCAATCACATATCATACTACAGTTTATGTGTGTTTATATTAAGTAAATTGGACCAGTACCAGGTGAGAAGTAACTTTTATACTACAGTAGAGCGTCGTTTATCCGAAAGTTGGTTATCTGAAGTGTCAGTTATCCAAAAGAATTCCAGTTGGCAAATTTAAATTTTCACTAGTTCTGTGGCGTTGCAATCTTTGGCTATGTCTTGGTCTACTCCAATATTTTTTTTTGTTGGTGTGTTTTTTAGCTGGCAGCACTGGCACTTTTGTGTGGTGTTTTTCTGAGGACTGTGTGTCGTGCTGAATCGAACGTTTTTGATACTAGATTAACGTCTAAAGTATTATTATTTTTTTTTGTTTTTATATTTTTCAATATATTTATTTTGTTTGTACAAAATAAAGAAATAATTTTTAACGATACAATAGCCATGATTATTATTTTAAAAAGTTTACATTAGGCTTAACATCGATGAAAATTCAAAGCAAAGCGACACGCAATGGAGAAAAATTTTAGCATGGGATAGGTTAATATATTTTTTCGTACATAATTGGTTATCCGAACAACCCAGTCCCCAATTGATTTGGATAAATGACGCTCTACTGTATTTTATATTAGTTTAACACAAATATGCAAATTTTTAAAAATGAAAGGGTCATGGAGGAAGATGACAATATTACATTTATGGAGTAGAGTAAGGAATAAACTCAAATAAGTGTTATATGAAAGATTAGATTGCAGTGGTTGGCAACACAACGTTTGACCATCGTCTCCAACCTACGTGATGTCGACTGTAGTTAACTCCACTTTTTAGGTGGATGTGCTTCTGTCCGGTTGCTCACCTCACCGCACGCTCCAACCACTGTTTCCACGGTTGATGTAATTGTAACTCTAGTATATAGTTCTGTAAAATAAACTTGTGACAATGACCATTGGACTCCATCGTCTGTCCTGGAATCATTCATTCAACATGACAACAACACTATTCATAGATGTAATCAGATTGATTGACATAACTAATTTCCTTCTCAAGAGGTACGCCTTAGTAGCCTCCTTACTGGTGAGACAGACGTGACCTCCACGACGTAGTAATCTGGACTAGGTGGCACGCTGGTCAAGCAGCCGAACTAATTGTTAGTTCGGTTGCTTGACCAGCATGGAGAGACTGGGTTTTGAAATGGTTAGCATCACTGGGATCAACATGCTAAGATTCAAAATGTTAGAATCTTAGCGTTCCATATTTAGAGCTTAAGTGATCCAAGAACCCAAAGCAGATCTTGGTTAAGATCGAAAATGTTTGTTCGTTTGTGTATCGTATCTTACAAGAGATTAAAGGTTTAGCAGTGATATTTACACGTACCGGTAATTAGTCTAGAAGTTTGTATTACTAAAAGACAAATAAAATTATATTAAGAGTAACACAGCTGGATCAGAGTTCAATAACAAAATAATTATATCTTTCAGTACTTTTATAGCACAAATATTCTTTTTGACAAATGTTTTCAGCTTTCTTTATAAACCGAAAACATTTGTCAGAAAGAAGTTGTGCTAGAAAAGTATCAAAAGGTGTAGTTATTTCAAAATTACATTTTAATCAGTTTTGATAAAATTATGTGTTTAAATGATTTTAATTTTCAAATACTTGAATTTGTTTAAAGGAAAAAATAAATTTTTTTTCTTAACTTTTTATGAAAATTTTTTATTTAAAACACATTTTCAATAATTTAGGTTGGCTCTGTGACATTTGATGGTGAAACAATTGAAGGAGCACCACCATTGTGGTGTGCTGCTGCAGCTGGACATTTGAGTGTTGTTAAATCCTTAGTTAGTAATGGTGCATCAGTAAATAGTACTACTAAAACCAATTCTACACCATTAAGAGCTGCTTGTTTTGATGGCCATTATGAAATTGTAAAATATCTTATTGAACATGATGCTGATATTGAAATAGCAAATCGTCATGGTCATACTTGTCTAATGATTGCTTGCTATAAAGGACATCTTCAGATAGCAGAATATCTCCTTGAACATGGTGCTGATGTTAATAGGAAAAGTGTTAAAGGTAATGATATTTTAATTTTCTAACATTATTAAAATTATTAATTAATAATTATAATAAAACTTTTCAAAATTTTTTATAAATATTAAATTTTCATTTAGTATGAAATTTTAAATTTATTTTATAATTCGTAAAATTTATAGAATTTTATTTTACTTCAGAATTTTTTAAAATTGAATATAAAGCAATTTTACATATATTGAAAAAGTTAAGTGAATTAAACTGTTTGTTATTCTGTACTAATAAAAATATATAACATTCAGAATATCAATTTTTTTAAAAAAGTTTTAACATTATCAGGAAAACTTTTGATAAATTGCAGAATTATTTGAAAATTCTAGAATTTTTGAACAGATTAAAATAAAATCAGCCTTACAGAATATTTGAAGAAGCATCTGACAAACTTATATAGCCATCTGTACAATTATATGCTATTATTTATGGCTTTTTTCCAAAAAAGAAGTAGAAAAATGAATTACAATAACATTACTATATCATGTGTATATAATGTGTGTGTGTGTATATATATTTTACATGATGTATAAAACCATTAAAAGAACTTCAAAGATATTACCATGCAAGAACTAAATATTTTAAATGTCTATTTATATTGTATTAACTTATAATATTTATTCTTAAGAGGTCTTATATCAACTGATCAAGTTCTTTTATTAATTACTTTTGTATCATCTAAACATAGACCTAGGTTT